CCCCCCCCCCCCCCTCCGCAGCAGGTTCCTCTCAACCTCCTCGCGAAATCATTAGAGGAAAAACAGATGGAGCTGTTGGCAATTCCCTGCAAATCGATTCATCCAAGCCTCGCAGCTCGTAACTCGCCCAACAGTTGGGTTTTCTCCTCTTTCTGCATTTTGTTTTTCTCTCCATCCCCCCCCCCCCCCCCCCCCCCCCCCCCCCCAGTAATTGGAGACCCCAACGGATCAGCACAGAACTGCAGAGCACGGCCACACCGTGACCCTGCAATGAATCCCCCTCCAAATTTGGGACATTTTCACCCTCTCCCCCGCACCAAACTCACCCAAACCCCCTCACCACGCATGCACGCACCCACCCCACAGCCCCCAAAGGACTCGGGGTGCAAAAGGGATGCGAACGAAGGGCTGCAGAGCCCCAGGATGGAGCGTTGCTTTCCCTTCCCAGAAGCACTCGGAGCTCATAAACAGGAGCAGTTGGCACCAGCACGGCGTGAGCAGGAAGAGGGGCGGCTGCACACGCCAAGGGCTGATGCAATTGTTTAGACCCAAGAGCTGCTTTCTGTCACCCCCTCGTCTGCTCTCCCCGGAAAGAGCATCACCCCGGCTGGGAGCAGAGCGTCGCAGCACGAGGATGCTGCAGCAGCAGCACGTGCTTGGCTGTGGGTTTGGGAGAGGGCAGGAAGTCCAGCGTGCAAACGGCCAATGCAAAATGCAAAGCATCCCTGGTGTGAAATGCAAAGCTCGCCGGTGCAAAATGCAAGCGTCCCTGGTGCAAAATGCAACTGCTACCGGTGCATAAAGCAAGTTTCCCTGGTGCAAAATGCAAAGCCCACCAGTACAAAATGCAAGTGTCCCTGGTGCAAAATGCAAAGCCAGCCAGTACAAAATGCAAGTGTCCCTGGTGCAAAATGCAACTGCTACCGGTGCAAAATCCAACTGTTCCTGGTGCAAAATGCAACTGCTACCGGTGCAAAATCCAACTGTTCCTGGTGCAAAATGGAAGCGCCCCTGGTGCAAAATGCAGGCGCCCCTGATGCAAAATGCAAACCCCACCAGTGCAAAATGCAGGCGCCCCTGATGCAAAATGCAAACCCCACCAGTGCAAAATGCAAGCGTCCATGGTGCAAAATGCAACTGCTATTGGTGCAAAATGGATAACACCACCGGTGCAAAATGAAAGCATCCCAGGTAAAAAATGCAACTGCTCCCTCCAGTGCAAAATGGAAACATCTCTGGTGCGAGATGCAATCACCCACAGGTACAAAATTGAAACAACCCCAGTGGAAAACGCAACTGCCCCCCCCCTCGGTGCAAAATGCAAACAGCTCTGGTGCAAAATGCAACCCCCCCTGGTGCAAAATGCAGGAGGGGAGCAGGCTGCACGCACGTGCATGCACACGTGTGCCGGCCGCGGGCAGCGCAGCAGTGCAGGCAGCACCGCAGGCAGCGGTGGGGTGAGGGTTGCTAAGAGACTCACTGCCTCCGGAGGGATGTGGCACCCGGAGGGGGGGGGCATGGAGGAGGGGAGACGGCGCCTGGAGCGATGCCACAGCCTCGGGAATGTGCCCAAATAGTGCCACCATCCTGGGGGTGCACGACAGGGGACGGAGCCCACTGGGCTGCCAGGGTGGGGACGTGGGGATGCATCTCCTCCCTGCATGCACGTTGCTGTGGGGTGGGCACGAGGGTCCTGCTGTCACACTGGGCCAGCACTCAGGGCCTCTGTGTGCTGCAGGGACATTGCATGTCCCTGCTCTCTGCGTGTTCCTACTCTCTGCATGACCCCATTCATCCCTCTGTGACCCCATTCCCTGCACGTCCCCACGCCCTGCATGCCCCCACTCCGCAGCAGTTCTCCTGCATCATTCCCACTCTCCACCTCTAACCTGTTCTTTATATCCATTTATCCATCTTTATAACCATGCTTCCAGCCAGAGCCCCTTCGGTGCAAAACCCCCCCCCAGAAGCCCCCCACCCACCCGCCTGCTCCTTTTCAGGAGGTACAAAGAAGGACCCCCTGATGCAATGAGGGCACAGAGCTCTCCACCCCGTTCTAAAGACCTCATTAGGAGGAGCAGGAAGAGCAGCACTGTCTGGAAGAGCTCCCACAACCCCAGAGTGTTTCCATGCCACTCAGAGATGCTCTGGGGACATGGATGGGATCGCGTGGTGACACCGAGGGGAGGAGGAGGAGGAGGGGATGGATGGGGTGACCCGACCCCGCATCACTGAGCCTGGCATCATCCCACAGCAGAGACTTAAAGGGATTTCATGCGATTGAGCTAATCCACTTAAAGCAAATCATAACGTGCATTTGTCTTCTTGAGTGCTCTCCCACAGACAGCCCCATCTCCATCCTCCTCAGGGATGCGATCCCAATGGGCACCGCCAGCAGGGATGGGGACAGAGCGTCCAGCAGAGCTGCTCTGCTCGTGGCTCTGCATCCCACATGGCTACTGGAACAGCCCCATCTCTGTCCCAGGCTACCGGGCACATTGCATGGGGGAAGAACTGCTCAAAGCAACTGGGGCACTGGGACAGCCCCAGTACCACCCCGGTACCATGGGGACGCTGCCGGTGCATCGTGGTACCTGCTGGCACCGGTCGCCACAGCAACGCCAGCGCTGAGCACCGTGCTGCCATCCAGCAGTAGGTTTGGAAGCACCGTGTTGTCATGGCACTCACAGACAGCCAAGCTGCACCTCTCCCTGTACAAATCCCCTCTGCACCCATCAAAACCCCACACCGCCCCATTGCCATCCCAAGGGCACCTCCTGGGCATCCCAGTCTCCATCACCATCCCCATGGTGCCTCTTGGGTGTCCCTAATCCCCATCACCATCTCCATGGCACCTTCTGAGCGTCCCTAACTCTCAATGACGTCTCCATGGCACCTCCTGGGTGTCCCAATCCCCATCATCACTTCCATGGCACCTCCTAGGTGCCCCAGTCTCCATTGCCATCCCCACAACACCTCCTGGGTGTCTCAATCCCCAGCACCACCTCCATGGCACCTCCTGGATGCCCCAATCCCTGTCACCATCCCCACAATACCTCCTGGGTATCCCCAGTCCCCATCACCACCTCCATTGCATGTTCTGGATGTTCCAATCCCCATCACCATCCCCACAACACCTTCTGGGTGTCCCCAATCCCCATCACCATCCCCACAACACCTCCTGGGTGACCCCAATCCCCATCACCTCCTGAGTGTCCATAATCATCACTGCCATCCCCATGGCACCTCCTGGATGCCCCAGTCTCCATCGTCATCCCCACAACACCTCCTGGCTGTCCCAATCCCCATCACCACCTCCATGGCATGTCCTGGGTGTCCCCAATCCCCATCACCATCCCCACAACACCTCCTGGATGCCCCAATCCTCATTGCCATCCCTATGGCACCTCCTGCATGTCCCCAATCCCCATCACCATCCCCACAAACACCTCCCCAGACGCCCCCCATCCCCACACCTCACCTCTCACACACCCGCACCGTCCAGGCAGCGATGATCCAGAGGGAGATGCTGAACACCAGCAGCACCGTCCCGGGGCAAATGGTCATGAGGGTTTTCATGACAAAACGAGTGTTGAAGTTGATCTTGTTGAGCGCACCGATGCTGCGCGACGAGGCGTCGGTGAAGAGCTTGCTGTGCAGCAGCATGACACGTGCAATCAGGTACAGCCTCAAGAACATGGGGATGGACAAGATGATGTCCACGTCCGCCTCTGCCCGAGAGGGAGTGTAGGAGAACGCCAAGCGTGCGGTCCAGAAAAATTTGTACTCCCCAGGGATGGGGTGAATGGCACAAACCAGCATCTCCAGGCTGATGTAGAGGATGCGCTCGTACGTCATGGCGATCCGCCAGTCGTCGGCACCGTTGTCGATCACAAAGAGCTGCCAGGAGGGAAAGCACGTGGTTATGGGCAGCCATGGGGCATGCTGTGGTTATTGGTGGCCCTATGGCATCCATGGTTACTGGTGGCCCTATGGGATCTCATGGTTACTGTTGGCCATATGGCA